ACAGGGAATGACAGGGTCGCAAAGGTGCCTCAAATCATTGGTGTATCTTGTGTTTAGTTTGGTAATTGATTTTTTTTAAGGATAAGTGAATGAAAAATGCTATGATCAAGACGTAAAGGATATTGCTCATTTTATTAATGGAATAAAGGTGAACGAAACACATGAAACATATAAAAATTTGAAATGGAAAACCTATGCTAGACATGAATGGGGGAATGGAGATGAATGATAAAAAAAGAAATCATGAAATCTTGCACAAAGGATCTGTTGTGCGCCTTGTGTTCATTACTTCTTGCTGCCTGGAGGGACAGGAAGTTTGTTTGCATCCATCAAGTCTTGAATGACGTCCTTCAAATTCCAACATTGCTCTGTAGTGTGGGCCCTTCTTTAATGGTACTTGCAATGGGCATTGGGATTCCATCTGGCACTCCTTTCTTCAGGTTTTGGCTCTGGAAATGGCCCAATAGGTGTGATCAAGCCTTGACCGTAAAGGCGATCAAAGGCCGCATCATAAGTCATTCCTAAAGAAGTGTAAGTTCTTTTCTTCTTGGGCAATGGAGCATCAAGAGATAACACTTCATTGAGATCAACTTGGCTTATATTGTTGGTAGTATTTTCGTTCTTAGAAGACGAAGAAGAAGGATGGTCGTTCTTTTTGTTTTTCCAAGTGTTATTATTGTTACTACCAGCAGTCTTTATTAGATCATCCTCGATATTGATACCAATGTCATATACAGCTTCAAAAGTGTTCAAAGGAAGAAATTTGAGATGTTGCTTGTATTTGTGAGTCAAATTTTGGATGAAGAGGCGAATCATCTCTTTTTCTTTGGGAGGATCTTCCAAGAGTGCAGCTGTTTCCCTCCGCCTGTTCAGATAAGCGGTGAAGCCTTCATTCTCTTTCTGTTTGAGAATGGAGAGTTCACGTTCACAAGTTTTAGTTTGAATGTTACTTGTAACGATTCATGAAACTGTCGGTGACATCTTGCCAAGTCGCAATACGCTTGGCATCTAGGGAATAAAACCATTGTTGGCAAGCATGCTATAAGGAGAGAGGGAACACTGTAGGGAAGAGTGTTACGTCCAATCCCTTGAGAGCCATGGTTGCAGAGAACGCTTTCAAGTGGAATATTGGATTGTCAGTAGGCTTGAACTTTGGAATATCAGCAGTGGAGAACTTTTTAGGGAGTCTGTCCTTCACATCCAAAGGAGTGGGAGGTCGTTCCACATAGGTGAAATCCTCATAAATCTTGCTCATTTTTTCTTTGATCTTGTCCATTGCAGCCGCAGTAACATTGTTTTGCTCTACTGTGTTGACTCTGGTAGTGAGTGCTTGTAACATGTTAGACATTGTCTCAATGGACTTGTTAATGTTCTCAATATCTTCCTTAGTGGCCATTGGGACAACCCGAAAGTAGTTTGAAGGTGATGAGTGACGTGGAGATGGCAAAGTTCTCTTTAAACGCCTCTTAGGTCTAAGAGGTTGATGTAGTAATGACTCAAACCGTACCAATCTACCCCTGCTCCTTGACCAAGTGCTGTGAAATAAAACAACCGCACTTAATTGTTTGACACATTGCTCAAGATAGGGAAAAAAAAAAGTCATTTGAAAATAGGTGAGAATAACTCCAATCCACTCATCCTTTATCATGACGGAAATGGGGGTGCATGAACCTAGTATACGATCATAAACGACATGGTGTATGACTCGAGTAAAAAAAAATAAAGAAAGTGTGTGGACTATACTTGACTCGTGAGTGATTAATTGATGTTATAAGACTCGTGGTATGATCGTATGGCTAGACATGTGAACAATAACAAAAATGACTGACGCGAGGACCAAATTAACACGGAAGACTAAAAAAAGCTGACTGGACTTATTTCCTAGGCACCGTGACACAGCAAACGGTACAAGCTGCCGTGACACGGTGATATTTCCCGTGGCACGGTGGATGCTAACGTGGCATGACAATTTTTCTTAGTTTGCGCTAATTACTAAGTGAGTACGGTCCATTGGCAATCGTTAGTCATAAAATAATCCACCATAGACAAAGAAAGATCGTTAAGGTTAGGATCAAAACGACCAAACATAAAACACGTAGGCACAATGATGCAAAGAATAGTTCGCAACCTAAGGTCAATTTTTATGTTCGACTATGGTTAGGTTTATTTGGTGTCAATAGGGTACCATGATTAAGAGTTTGGACGCGTTAGCAAGGCAGCCTCCCTTGAGGGTGTATGCCAACGGGCAGCTCCGGGAGTTCGTGATGAAATCGAACTCAACTCCATGGTTTGGGTGGATTTAATAACTCGGATGAACCCTTATTTCCATGAGCGTTTTTGGGTTGATAGAGCTTAAATCCCCCGAGGCTAAGACGCATGTAGAACACATACGTTTTTTCAGAAAAATCGAAGTAAGTTGTATGTGATAAGAGAAAACAAGCCACCAGACTGATTTTAGAACTACCTTGACACGGCAGATAGCACCGTGCCACGGTGCAACCCAACGTCAAACGGTGGACTGCACCGTGACACGGCAGTCAGAAAATCTGAATGGTGCCCTGTTTTCCTTCGTACGCAATCAAGTTATTCAATTTTTCCTACGGGACAAACCTAAATGCGACGTTAAAACGTCTATGCTTATGCAAAAATGCCAAATTAATCACATGAATATTTTTCAAGAATATTTCAATTCTCATCCACTCATCTTAATTAAATACCGATCACTCAAGTCAATAAATAACCAAGAATCCTCCCCAGTGGAGTCGCCAAATTGTAGGCATCGTTCGAAGTGCGCCTAAGTTAAAGAATGTGTGAATATGCTTGGCACTCATAGGAAGCGGGAACTGACATAACGATTAGGGACAAGGAAAGTAGGGAGCCGCCAACAAGTTTTTAAGGAACTTGTAAACCGTTCACGGATCATAAAAGGCAACCACGATTAAGGGACAACGAAAGGCAACAACGATTGACCCGTGAAGGTTACACCCTATTCATAATCCATGAGATTACTAACTCCATATGGTTCGAAACCATGAAAGGAGGATCGGGGATGATGGTACGAAGTGAGTCATGGAATCACATTCGCCCGTATTGGCCTCTACTCGATTCTTATTGTGAAAAGTGATTCCTACGATCTCAAAGGCATACAAACAAAGATTCAATTTGTTCCAAACTATTATTATGATAAATTGGTTGAATATTAATACAACACATAATTCTAAAATATTAGTGATCACTTAATTAAATAACAAGATTATAAAGGAGCCTAAACCGGTTGTCCAAATTATCTTATTAGGCGTGATTTTCAATTACATATTCCCTTTAAACATGCAATATAGTGATCATAATAACAATCGAATAAACATTAATATTGGAAGCAATTTAACAATAATAGTGTTAGTCAAATCAAATATAAAATAACCCTAATCATGATACTAGCAATATTAAAATACAATAAGAGTAATTAATTAATTACTCACATTTCGTACGTTCTTTTGAATTGCTACATCATGAATAAAATGTTAGTAACTTCAATAAAAAAATATAAAGTAAATGAAAATTAAATTAAATTAAATAAAAAGTAGAGTTGATTTGGTCCAAACCCTCAGTTATTTGAACCTTTCACGCCTTGGTTTAAGAACGGAACCTCGGGTTAAGTATAGACTCCTTGGAGCGCTTAGGGAAATTCTTATGGAAGAATAAGGAGGCTAGAAATTAGGGTAAAGAGGGAGAAGAGAATGATTTTTGGTGTAAGGTGAGAGAGAATGATTATTGGTGCCCCGAACTGCAGAAATGAGGGTCTTATTTATAGGGAAATTGAGTAGAGGGAACACGCGGAACCCTAAAAAGATAAAAACGCTAAAAATTAACACCGCGACACGACAGAAATATCGTGACACTGTGCCAGGCACCGTCAGACAGGGAAAAATCCCGTGATGCGGTGGACAACTGGAGTGACACGGGAAATATTTGACCTACGGAAAGTGAAAACACGTGAAGGGTATACGGGAAAAAGACACGAGAAAATTCCGTGTCACGAGGTGTGCACCGTGACACGGGAAGACATACCGTGACACGGTGGATTTTTTGCGTCCAAATTCATAAGCACGTGGGAATGAAACGAGGAAAAGACACGGGAAAGCACCGTGACACGGTGAAAAATCCCGTGTTACGGTACCATACCCCGTGCCATGTCATCATCACCGTGACGCGGGAAATTTACGCGTTAAAAGAGCACGGGAATTCCCGTGTCACGGAACCATGCATCATGACACGTTGAGAATTCCCGTGTCACGGTACCAGGCCCCGTGCCACGTCACTTTCCCTTGTGACGCGGTGGTTTGGTTGCCTGCGCGACGATTCCAGTTTTTTACGCGTTTTTCAAATTGCGTTAACTTTGATCTGTTGCTCGGAATAAGGCATATAATATATCATTGGAAAGCTTATCAAGTCTACTTTCCAACCTAATTTAAATCAGGTAAAAATGATTGTAGATTTTAAGATATGGCCATTTTAGGGGAAGGGTGTCGGTTTTGGGCCGAGTTTAGTGTTTTGCTCATATCTTTTTCGTTATAGATCGGAATTGGGCTTATGATATATGGTTAGAAAGCTTATTTAAAATCCTATCCAACCAAATAATAATTGGATCAAAATTACATAGCCATAAAATCAGTTTCTCTCGGTTTTGCGATGTGGACACGAAAAGTTGATAACAAGTTATGGTTTAGGGAAATGACTTAGGAAACGGATTGGTTTATGAAATGTATTGGATAGAACATGGATTCACTACCACAAATTAGAGAATAAGTAACACACAATACACAACTGTCAAGTTACATAGGCGATCTCTAGAATTATACATATCGCCTATGTAAGATAAGCGTTTTGTATCTTGAAACCTATAGAGCGCATGTTTTAGTTAACCGTTCTATAAGTATTATCCAAAAGTACACCATACAATATAAATCGCCTCTTTTTGTTAATAGTTCTGTAAGTATTAAAAAAAAACAAGCTAATTGAACACGCATATACCCATAACTCCCCTAACCCTAAAACATATCAAATGAGAGTCGCCCCTCCCCATCTTCTTCCCTTTCTCTTTTAGATCAAAACTCCTCTTCTCCCCTGTTCCTCTCTTTCTCTCTCCTCAAATCCCAAAGCACCGTCCTCAAGCTTCACACGCCCACAAGTCCACCGCCTATCTCACAAGCTTTTCACACACACCGTTGAGACACAAGCTGACGAGTGTCAACCACCGAGCCACCTTTCAGCCATGAGTTTCCACCACCAAGCCATGAGATGTCGATTTGAGTATTTAATTACTCAAGATTTTTCAATTTTTGATTTGATTTTAATTTAGGTTATAATATAAATTTAGTTTTTCTTAATTTTTGTTTTTGATTCAAATTCTGATTATAATGAATTTGTTATTACTTAGATCTGATTTTATTTTTTGTTGTTTAGAGATAATTTCTTGTGTTAATTTTTATTTAAATTGGTTAAGTTATAAGTGGTGTGGTGTGGCGTGGCGTATTTTCGTGTGTTGTGGGTGCTGCAGGTGGTGGTGTGGGGTCGTGGGGGCTGATGGGGTAGTGGGAGGTGTAGGTGGTGGTGTGTGTCGTGGGTGTTGCAAGTGGTGTGGGTAGTGTGATGTGTAGGTGGCGGTGTGGGTCGTGGTGTTGGTGGTGGTTTGGTTCGTGGTGGGGCAGTGGGTCGTGGTGTTGGTGGTGGTTTGGATCGCGGTGTTGGTGGTGGATTGGATCGTGGTGATTATACACTGTACTTTTACTTCTTGTTTATGGATCTATTCTTGATTTCTTGTTGCTTATGAATGGATTTTTGTTACATGTTCAAGTTGATTACTTAGTTATTGAGCGTCATTTGGCCAGTTAATATGCATGTTACGTTGTTACATACTATTTGGATTTAAATTATTCTATGATTTGTTCTTGTTGTTAATATGCAAGTAGTTCTTATCATTTGTTGTTTTTCATGTTTTACAGATATTAGAGTGAAATTTTGCTGAACAATCGCAGGCATTGACACAACCTGTATTGATTTCTTCTCTAAACCCGCAAAGCCGCAATTGTTGTTTGTAGTATAAATAATTAATCAGTAGTATTAGAGAACTTGTAATGTATTTTTTTTCCTCAACGAATTCAGTTGTAATTGAAATACATGTATTTTAATTTTTTTGATAAATAAAATGTTATTGTTATGGTATTTTATTTATGCATATTATTATTATTATTATTATTATTATTATTATTATTATTATTATTATAAATTTATAATCAATAATAATAATAACAATATATAATTTTTTTTTTTAAAAAGCAAGGAAAAGAGAGCGCCTATCTGTGGTAGGCGTTCTCTATTTATACAGCTACAGAGCGCCTATCCTTAGATGACGGCTCTCTTTTCCTTGTTGTTTATTTACTTTATACCTAGAATATGAAGTGCCTATATCATATAGGCGATCTGTATTATGTTAGATATAGAACGCCTCAAAGAGGCGTTCTCTAGACTTTATAGGGCACCCCCTCGGAAGAACGCCTCTGAGGCGTTTTATATGGCATGTTTTAGGCGTTCTATATTCATGTTTTTGTAGTAGTGATTTAAACAATCCAAAAATTAAATACTCAACCCGACCAATAATGACGGTGAAAGGTGTTCATCATCGGGTTTGGTTTTGGGGAGACATTTTTAGGTGTCTACAGCTATTAAATTATAGTAACTTATTATATGTGTATAACTTTGTTTGTCCTATTTTTTAAGCTTCTTACAAATATTGGTTATTATGTATTCTTAATTTAAGTTAATTACCCCGTAGGTATTATAATATTAAGGATAAACAGTCTACTTATTGGACGATCATTAGAATTCATTACATTAAGGAAAACAAAGCACTTCCTTTTTTTTTTTTAAATTGTGGCACTTTGATTGGCATGGAGTTTTATGCGCTTAAGTTCATTAAAAGTTGTCCAAGGGAGGGAATGTCCTTCGTCTCAAGCAACGAGGTTGTGAGCTTTAGCCATAATTATGGCTATTGACAGGGTAAAGTCGTATTCCCAAATCAAAAGAATTACCTAAGTCCTCTAAATAATGCAGATAGGGAAGTAGGGTCGAGTCCACAGGGAAACAAGTCTTTCTACTCCTAATTAATTATTATAATCTAAATTATCAGGGTAACCAATGTTGTTGTGATTAAAGATTATACTACGAAGAATATGAGTAAGGAAAATAAAGTAGGGTGAAAACAAATATTAAAAGGCCTAGGGCATAGGTTCACCAATAAATAATATTTCAGGGTAAAACATAATAATCAATCATCAATGTATCAATTAATCAGATCATAAAAGGCTTTCGCTACGTATTACAATCACAGAGTTAATTTACCGGTATTAAATCTCATATCTCGAATCTCGACTTAACCATTTATAAATTAAATTGTCTATTGAAACTAGACCTTAATATTAATTCTCATCTCTCGAATCTCGAATCAATATTGCTAAACTCATACAATTAAACCAGTGACAATCTAATTGCATAACATTAAATCAATCAATAGGAAATCAATCAAATATTAACAATTAACAATAATAAATTACCCCTTCATATTAATCATGGATCCCCAAGAACCCTAGAATTAAACTACTTGTGCATAAATAAAACTAAACTAAATAAAGCAATTAAATAATAGTTAAGAGCTAATAATAAATTATTAACAAACTAATACGAGAGTAATCAAATTAAACTGTGGGCAAAACAAAGAAACAAGCATATAACTATAAGCAATGAAACTACAAAATCAAGAATAATTAAAGACGGAAGAAAACTAAACAGTTTAACTTTGAAAACAAATCTCCAAAGTTGCGTAAATACTGGAAACCAAAAAACTAAAGTCAACTCCTAACAAAAACTATCCAAATCCACTTAAACTAAAACTAAAGAAAAAGCCTACGTACTCCCCCTAACAAACCACTAATTGGGTATTTATAATTCCCCACCAAACATCAACCGACATCAATCAGGTGGGCCTAAACAACGAAGCCCAACCACTCAAAACATTAAACTTCAGCGTTTTAAACAGCGTGAACAAGCTCGCCCTATCGGGCCTTACACCGCCCGATCGGGCTCGGCCTGTTGGGCACCGAATTGGACTTCTCTTGTGGGAATTGGGCTTCGGAGTTGGAACTTGTTAACTTGAGCCCAAAGTACTTGTTAACTTGGTCCGTCATACTTGTTTGAACTCATGGTAGTAACTTGGACCTTCGTATTTAATCGAGCCCTTAATCACCAAGCCAAATTCCTTTAACTCGGCCTTGAGCTTAAAATATTTGGTCATAAAATACAGTCCGACTCTAATGTCTTTGTAGTGGCTCAATAAGCTCGGCAATTATCATAATTCTGCAAATTTCTACAAAATAATACCAACTCTATAAAAACACTAGAAAACGTATATTAGTAATAAAAATAGCTCCGTAGAACTCAAATTAGCACAAATATGACCGTGGGACGGGGAATAAAATATATATAAAATAGACTTATCAGCTATGAGAAAGATTTTGAGTATTGCAGAGTATATCAAATTGGATAAAAATAAAGAAAAATTGAAAAATACCACCATCTATTGTTGTCATTTTGTACAATACTACATCAATTTTTTATTTTTTATTTTGTTGAAAAATACACTTTAATAATCCCAACTATGGGCGATTTACTTCTAGCAATCCCAACTACAGTTTATTTTTTACCATTCCCAACTATGGGGTCAGTTTTCCTCCAACAGTCCCAACCGGTCAACGACGAGTCAATAACCTGTTATAACAGGTGACCATGACATGTGTCAACACGTTATTGGTCCAAAATATTGAAAAAAAAAATGTGAAATTCTCAATGGTACTCTTAAGGTTTTATTTATTCTCAATGGTAAACACTAAAATACAAATTATCAATGGTAATCTTTAATTATTAAAATAATACAGTGGTAACATTAGTTAAGCATTTTAAGAAATTATTAACCATGGTTAATGTTTTAAAAGGAATAATGCCTAAAATACCCCTATTGGAAAATATGCAACACCCACTCACCCCCTCCTTCCCTGCCACCCCCTCCTCCTTGATCCCGACCAGTGCCGCCCGCGACCACCCAGTTACCCTCCCTGGCGCCGGCGCTGGCTAAACTCGCTACCCCTTGTCGTCGAAACCCTTAAACCACCCAATCCCCCTTCTTCACCGGCGCCATATCCTAAACCCTTCTTCTACCTTCTCAACCGCACTTGCATTTCACCGAAAACCCAGCAAATCTAAGCCAAAACCACCCATATTCGAGCAAATCTGAGTCAAATCCACTTTCGAGCAAAAATCGACCCAAAACCCCCTTAATTACCCTAAATCAAGCAAATAATGACTAAAAATTCAAATCAGAAATATAATTTTGCCCCCCATAAACCCTTGAAATTTCAACAAAAAATTGAGGTAGGAGATCAGAGAGAATTGAGGAAGGGGGGAGGTGGGTTGCCATGTCGGGATTTCCGTCGGTGGTTGATGGGATTTGTTGGTGGTGTATTGGTGTAGTTTGATTTAGGTGAGTTGGGAATCGGGGAAGGAGAGTGGGAATACGGGGAAGGATTGGAGATGGTGGTTGGCTGGGAATCGAGGGAAGGAGAGGCTCGCCACGCCGGCGCCAGGAAAAGGGGGGGAGAGGGTCGCCAGCGCCAGGGGAAGCAAGGGAGAGGGTTCTCCGCCGGCGGCTGCTTCTGGCAGAGGAAGGGGGGCTGGCAGTGGGTTGTGGTTGGGGTGGCTGGGGTTTTTTCAATTTTTTTTTAATTAATAAGGTTATATTAGTCATTATGTCTTTAGTTAACTAGGGTTAGGCTAATAATTATGGATTAATGTCATTAATGTTACCACTGAGTTATTTTTACTAATTAAAGATTACCATTGATAATTTGTTTTTTTAGTGTTGAGAATAAATAAAACCTTAAGAGTACCATTGAGAATTTCCCAAAAAAAACCCATAAAAAAATAAAAAAAATAAAAAAATTTAGCCACCCTCTCCTCACCCCTATCAGTCAGTCACCTGCTCCACCGTTCACCACCTTTGCAGTCCACCGCCTAGCTCTTCCCTGCTCACCACACACACTTCTCGCCACCAAACAGCACCAGCATTCCTCCTCCCTCACGCCACCAATTTACACCACCAAGCACCAGCCATCTCTACCTCTCGCCACCAGTTCGTGCAACTCCAGCCACCATTTCTCACAACTTTAGCCACCAATTCGTGCAACCCTAGCCACCGATTCGTGCAACCAGCCACCTCCACCTCTCACCACGAATTTACGCACTCCAACTACGAATTCTCACAACTTTCGCCACGAATTCCCGCAACCTCACCATACGAATTCCCGCAACCAGCCATCTCCAATCCACCGACTTCTCATCACAGCAACAACAGAGCAACGACAGCCGCACTCAGCTTGCAACTCCAGCCGCAAGCCACCATCTTGCCCTGTTATAGCTACTCTTCTCATCACCTCGTAAAAACCTTCAATCAGACCCCAACTTCGATCTAATCTCTTCACGGGCTCAAAGAGGTTAAGGGGATTTTCAAGGTGGTTTTGGGGGTCGAGGAGGGCTAGCTGGGTGGTTATGGGGGTCATAGATAGGTAGTAGAGGTCGGCCGCTGATTTCAGTGGTGAAGGAGTGTTGGCCGACCGATTTCTGACAAGGTTAGGGGATCAGGTTAGGGTTCCGGCAAGGTAGGGGGTGGGGAAATTAAGAGTGGCCGAAACTTTGGTTATTTTTTTTTTTAATTTTTATTTTTAGTTATTTTGTTTTAAATGTTTTTTAAAATTTTAATTTCTGACCATTCACGTGTTGACATGTGGCGATTAAAAAAAAGTAAAAAAAAAAACTTGTTTAGTAGGTCACCTGTAATTGGGACGTTGGAGGAAAATTGACCCCATAGTTGGGATTGTTAAAAAATAAATTGTAGTTGGGATTGTTAGAAGTAAATCGCCCATAGTTGAGATTATTAAAGTGTATTTTCCTTTTTTTTTTTATTGCATTTTACCACCTACTTTCATCAAAAATACTAAAAACTACCACAACTATTGCCCGGCTCCCCTATATGATGTCATAATGGATCCCACTAACCAATTTTCCTACGAATTCCACCTTTCTTCTTCACTAATCATCCTAATTAACCAATTATACCCTTGATTTTGCATTGTTTGGCTGAAAAACAAATTAGCGAATAAAAACCCTAAAAAAGGCCTAATTGATCTACCAATTGATATTAAAATAGTCAAAGAGGAAGACGAAGGAAGAATAGAAGTGAGAACAGTGCCGTCTCGGAAATTTTTGGGGCCCGGAGCAAAAACTAAACAAGGGCCCCTAAATAATCGAGTCGTATTTAATAATAATATATCAACAAAATTATGAGAAAATACAAGTATATTATCTTGATAAATAAATTTTGTTTGTTAATCGGTAAAACTATAAACAAATTAAATCAACAACTTTTTTATAAATACAGGGAGCACAATTATTGATATAAATAAGAAAATGTCATGTTGACTCCAAATACTTTTGTTTGTTTATGAATGTGATAAATTGGGGCTTCCACCATAAACTTTATGTTAAAAAGTTTGTCAAAATAACGAATGCATGATAGTCATTTAAGATTTTGCTAACTCTTCTTTCTATTTTTTTCTTTTTAACAATAATGATTTTAACAACTTGCCTAACCTTTACTCTAATATATAGAGCATAATTTTACTTTATTGGAAAAAAAAATTACGAAATTTAAGTAAAGAGTTTTAATAACATAATTATAAAATTGGGAAGCTAATAAAATGCTTGAATTAGAGAAAAAGCCTGAGGTACCTCTTAAAATGAATATTGTGTATAATTTTCAGTCTTTGACTTGTTTTCATTTTTTTAAAAAAATATTTTTTATAAACTATTTTTTCTAAAATAAAAAAAAAGATGTGGGCCCCTTAAAGTGGGGGCCTGAGCGATTGCTCAAAGAGCTCATGCTATTGACCGGCCCTGGGTGAGAATCGAGGGAAAAGAGAGGAACAATTGGTAGTGGGACCCACCGTGACATCATATAAGGGAGTTGGACAAAAGTGGTGGTAGTTTTTAGTGTTTTTGATAAAACTAGGTGGTAAAATACAATTAAAAAAAAACTTGAGGTGGTATAGTACACAATTACTACAATAGATAGTGTTATTTTTCAAATTTTCCTAAAAATAATGGAGTTTCGTGAAGGAGTAAATTGTTGAGAAGTTCAAAAGAAAGGGGGTGTTTGTAAACCAGCTTTTCAGCTGGCTTTTGGCTTTTGGCTTCTTCAAGTTGGTCAAACAGCCAAAAAACATGTTTGGTTAGTGGCTTTTTTAATTGGTTGAAAAGCTGGCTTTTAAGCCAAAAGCCAAAAGCTAATTGGAGCAACTTTTGGCTTGTTGACATAATTAACTTTTGATTAATTAATAATTAATAATTAATATTTTTTTTAATAAGAATTAATAATTACTAATTAATAATAATTAATAATTAATAATTTATAATTAATAATTAATATTTTTTGAAACATAAATTATAAGTATTTAATAATTAGTTTTTAATAATTAGTATTTAATAATTAATAATTAATTATTATCATTCAATAATTATTTTTTAATAATTAGTATTAAAATGGAGTAATATACAATTATTAGTAATTTATAACCAATAATTAATTAATTTAAATTATAACTAATTATTATTAACTTATTGTAAATAATTAATACTTCATTTATAATTATAATTACCAATAATTTATTATTTTAATTAATATTAAAGTATTATACTAGTTCATTAGTGTTGATATAATTTAACAACAGCTAGCACCCAACAACCAATTTACCAAACACTACAACTCTAGTCAAACAGCTAACTCAAAAGCCAATCTAAACATCCAACTAAAACAACCAACAACCAACAACGAATTGCCAAATAGGGCCAAAGAGTCCAAGAACCATGTGATGTCTTGAATGATATATCGAACAACTACTTGTGGATTTAAAAAATCAACTCCGCCTACACGATGTAAGGTGTATGTTGACGCACAACTAATATAACAAAGTCTCTTTTGCATAAAAAATAATAAATAAATAAATAAATAAAATATAAATAATTATAATAAGTATACGAATGTTGTAGAAACCAAATTATACAAACTAGTTTAACTCAAGCCTACAAACTAGTTTAACTCAAGCCTTTCATAGATCAATAGATTATGTTAATTATCACTAGTTATATATATAAGCATGGTTGCTTCTTCACCTGAGGCAGCAATAATTATGTTGGTTGGTTGTGCACCTACCTTGTTTAAACATCATAGTAGTAGCTTTTACTCTTTCCCAACAAACTGAGCATCATAACGTTGGTCTAGCATGTTGAATTGATTTGTCCCATACGAAGTATTTAATTATCACAGTTAGAACAATTTTCGTGTGTTAATGTGTTATCCTATTCTTTTGTTGGCTAATTTGACTGTTAAATACTTATGCCATGATTGCCATCTTAAAACCATTAAATTTCACCATCTTGTGTTTGCTCGTCTTTACACTTCTCTGTCGTAGGATCAATCATACAAGCTTGTCCAATAATGAACAAGGGGCGTTACTTCCATAGGGAATGGGGGGTTATTCGTATAATTTAAGAAACAAGTTGAATCGGATAGACAAGAATGAAGAGGCAGTATTTACTAAAAGTAATAAGCTAAATCGACTACTAATACAATCTCATACAACATAAGTCTCACCCCAGAAAGAAGATAAACTAACCCTCAAAAATCTCACAAAATAAAAAAATGAATCCACCTGATCGAATGTATAAATCCAAAATACAAGAGAGCGGGAACAAAATGACATATCCAATATTACATAAATGAAATTAATATCGCGACAACATATCCCAGGGAAAAACCAAAAGCAGCTGATTCTCTTAAAATAGCAAGGCAAGGATAGCACATCCAGAAACTAAGCTTCCAATCAACTTTGAAACGGACCACATCTTTTCTACTCCACTCTGCATTACAGTATCAAACATACCATTAACATCAGCTTCTAGTGAGTATATGTAATAATGGCAATACTTCATAAAATCTGATGTCAATTTATGAACATATAACAGTATATTTACTATTAAAAGAGTACTACTCACATTAAATATATGAATGAATTGAGAAAAAATGTCAAAAAATGAATATGGTTGACAATGGTATTTAAGAAACATTTGACTTTTCTGTATATGATCACTAGATTGTGGGCCTTGTCTCTTTTTACAGGCAACAGCCAACTAAAGATAGTATGTTTCTCCAACAATCACGAGTTGTATCTTGTTACATTGAATGTCATATATACTTGTATGAATGTATGCAATTACATACAGATATGTCAGCAAGAAACGTCTGAGTTGAGAATAGAGACTGCCAGAGGCAATTGCATGACATGGAAATTGGTCGCAAATAATCATTTGTAACCACTAAATGGTTTTGTAAGTGGCGAAGTTAGGTAGGTACTAATGCTATTAAGGAAAGGTGATTAAGATGCCTTTAAAGCAAAGACAACCCCACTGTTAACCTGAATGAATCATTCTGAAATGAGATCATAACTAACTTCATTTCATAATGTTCATGAATCATGACTCTGATTTTGATACGATGCCAAAAAGTAGTATCCAAGGTCAGCTGATAGGCCCAAAGACTATTATGTCCGTCCCTCATTATCATTTAGCTACTATTTAATCACATAATTGCTACCTAACATATTTTCTCAAAGTACTGTTATTGTACATCATACATGGAATGGACCAACCAATAAATTCACTAAATCACCCAAATAATCAAGTCATAGATTGGTAGTAATAGTATCTAATTAATGAATCTTAAGATCCAACAAATTTAGGAATCAATCTTCATTTGAAATGATTACTTCTTGGAATATAATCCATCTATTTTATCCTTCTACGCCACTAATGTGTCAATATCATAAAAAAAAAGTCGGACCCTACACCTCTCGATCAAAAGATCCAATAAACACTACTCATATCGAGTCATCAATCCTCATCAACAGCCATGCAATGCACCAATTGTTTCTCAAGATTAGAGGATAGATTACACATCAAGAAAATGATGAAGTGAAAACATAACCCAAAGTCACTTTCATGCAAGCTAGTAAGATGTAGGACCTTATAATAAAAGAAAACAAGCATATGTTAATGCAAAAAAAAAAAAAAAAAAAAAGCAATAAGATGATGTTGTACCAACAAAATCATGTCAATAGCACATGGTTAATTCATCACAAATCTAAACCAATCATCCGATTTTCGTGGGCCCACTTGTGATTCCCTTAAAAGCTAAGCAAAGTTCTCTTAATCTAGGGATCTTCAATGTGGCAGCTAACAACTGGAATGATTATTAATTAAGCGATACTAAAGGCTTTACCATGCTTCATAAGATGATAAAAGTTTATTTATATGGGTGATTAAAAAGGTATCTTATGCTGCTAATTAAAGCAATTATAGTTTAGTATATCTATAATTAGCAAGCTCAATAACATTCATTTCGCGTCTCAAGTTATTGACAACAACATTTTACAAACTCGTGAAGCTAAACCAAGAAAAGCAAAAACTAGATCACTTCTACCAATCCAATTTCCTTATAATTTCGACACTTAACATTTTCTTATGATTATCTCCTTCATATAGATTAAGTTTTTGTGATTTGAAATGGCAAACGCAGTCATAAAGTAAGATAATGTCAATTAAATTAGAAAATCCGTACAATTAAAGTTCAATGACACTAAGCCAGCATCATAATTAATTTCAGTCAACCAGCTTTACATTTTTTTTAGTAAAGGCTAAGTTTTATGGAAACAAACATGATTAATGCACTAATTATATAATTGTACTATTAATGCAAAATTTTGGATAAACATTGAATGACAGTAAATTGGCAAATTTTGTTGCAACATCTACATTGCCACAAATCAAACCTGTGTCACACAACTTTAGAATGGTAATGGAGCCATGGATCTTATTCCCTAATGATGCAATATTTTTTTAACCCAGGCCAATTTTCATACACCAAACATCACCATAATATCGGACGCTTAATACAATTTATGAAGAAATTGAATGGGTCGATAACTAGAATTTACTCTTGTTTTCCTGATCTCAAGTCATTCCTGATGTCTCATTAAGTTATTGTACATCCGTCTCATATAAGATTTTGAAGAACAAATGGTGTGACAATCATAATCATTCCCAACCATATTTCTCAATATAATCAATATTAATTACAAGACCAATGAAGACACAGAACTAGTCCCAGAGTACTGATCTCTCAGATTTAAGTACGTATTTGACTACATTTTATTATGTCGGTGTACATTTGACTTCAGCAAATCCCCACCACCCCCTTCCACAATATTTGATTAAAATAAGTAATACTCCGTATATTGCCAATTAATTTTCTGAATTGTTACCCCGTCTATCTCTAAAAGTTATTCCCGGAAGCCGAGGTACTGAGGTAGTATTAATAAAACAATGCACAACAAAATCACGCGAAATAATGTGATAATGTAGAGTATAGAGGCAAGTGATTTATGTTAGGATCAAGGAAGGACAAATAAAGATACCCGACAAGAATGCAGCACGATAAGCAACAACACTCAGATCAACAAAGTGATCTGATCAAATACAAACCAAAAGTAACACCAGATCTAACACTTAGATCTGAACAGCAGTACACTAACAGCACTACACAACAATACAAATTAAATAATCCACATCCAACCTCCCTCAGATCTTTGATTGTCCGCACCATTTATGTGATTTTTAATTAATATATTTAATCATGTATTAGTAAAAATTATAAAATCTACCTATTTTTGAAAAAACATGTTCAAACAAATTTAACAAGATTTTTCGTGATTATAAATTATAATTAACTCCGAACATGAAAATGAAGCAAAAAAAATGAAAATGTACCTGATCATCGGTATCGGACGAGGCAGGACCCAAAGCAGGTCCAGGAGATAGAGCACCTCCCATACTAGGTCCAGGTGCTTCAGAAGGAGGAGATGGAGGAGAAGAAAGCGATGGAGATGGCGCAGCGGCAACCGGTGACTTAGCTGGTGCAGCCACTGGTGTAACAGCGGGTGGGGTGGCTACTGGTGGTGGGGTAGCCACTGGTGGTGGAGTAGCCGGTGGTGGTGGAGTAGCCGGTGGTGGGGTAGCCACTGGAGGTGGGGTGGCTGGTGGTGGGGTACCCACTGGTGGTGGGGTACCCACTGGTGGTGGGGACTGCTGAGGGGCTTGAGCCACTGGTGGGGGTGATTGGGTGGTGGATGGTGGTGGTGCGTTGGTGGGTGGTTGGGTGGCTGGTGGTGGTTGGGTAGCTTGAGGAGGCTGGCTAGCTTGAGGTGGTTGGGTGGCTGGGGGAGGCTGGCTAGCTTGAGGTGGTTGAGTAGCGGGTGGTGGCTGGCTAGCTTGAGGTGGTTGAGTGTTAGCCGGTGGTGGTTGGGTGGCGGTGGGTGGTGATTGGGTGGGTGATGCAGCGGGTGATTGACCAGTTGCGACGGCAATGGTAATGCAGATGAGGCCAAGCAATAGCGTGGCCTTGAGATCCATTGTTTTGAACCGAACTCTAAAAAAGTTGATCAAAAATTAGTAAGAGTAATAAAGTAAAGTAGTAATGTTAAGAGTGAGAGTGAGAGAGTGAAGAGAGAGCGGCGGAGAAGAAGTAAAGGAGGAGAAGGCTAATAAATAGTGAAATGAGAAACGGAAAGAAGAGGAAAAGAAGAGGGGTAGCGTAAGGAAGATTCGAGTGCAGCTGAATACACTTGATCACATGGCACTAGTAGTAATTAAAGAATACCAACCAAAACCAAAACAAAAACCAAAACAAGTATTTTTGAGAGGTGGGCCTGGTATTGGTGGCCCAGGTTGGGATGTCTCATCTTAAATCTAAAGCCATACGTATATACTATACATACACACATAATGTTATACAATAATATACTCTCAACAATTATACTTGTAACATGTGTATCGTTTTTATTAGGGTGTTTGGGGTTTTCAATTGATTATTACTTCTATTATTACTTTTGTATGTAGATGGATATGCATATGCCCATATTTTGGGTGCATAGGATCCGATTTTACAAATTAATAATGATAAAACTATATTGTTGTTTTATATTTGAGGATTTTGGGTGTGAAAATTTACAGTAATTTATAAAAGAAGCTTATATGTAATGGGTGTATTGTGTACAATGATCATAATTATCATAATTTTTATAGTTACTTTTTTATGGCTATAGTGGGTTGTTCACATTTACTAAATTGGGCTAAACTGAACTGAACTGATTGGAGCTGAGTCGAACTGAACTGATTAGAGTTGTGATAGGTTGTCGTACACCTGTCAAAAATAAATTCATAACAAACCAACTAACAATGTAGTAGGGTAAGTAGGGTCGAATCCACAGAGAGATGACTATTTAATATAGCTTTCAAGGTATGGAGAAACTAAACTATGTCACGAAATTGGGATAGAAAAATAGTCTAAATTAAAATAGAAATAAAACAATTAATAAAAAGACATAGGGTTATGGTTCACCATGTTTATAACTCTAAATCTATCAAATATCAATAACAATTCAATCAATCAATTATCTAGAGCAATTGCTAAGCCTACGGTCGGGTCTTAACGCTCTCAATTCAACATATGCAGTACGATCGCTAACATAATCAGAATTGCTAATTGTAGAGAAGCCTCTAAAAGTAAGATCTTTCGATTCATACTCTTATTAACAATAATTAATCAAACAATTGATCAGGTTGCAAGATTAACAACAAAACACTATCAATTAGAGAAATCAATAATCAAAATATTAAAATTATCAATCAAGATTCATCATATAAACATGGATTCCCAAACCCTAGAAATAAACTACTCAAACATGGAAGAAATAATTAAAACTAGATCTAAGGAATAAAACATAATTAAAAACAAGAAATAGAAATAAAATACCTCAATGAATTGAAATAATAAACCCAAGAATCATCCATGGAAGAATCCATGGAGATGCCATGAGAAACTACGGTTTGAGAGAAAACTGAAAAGAACGTAAAATAATAAAAAGCATAAAAAAGGCATAAGGGAAAAATAATATCCCTTGAGTATTTATAATATTCTAAAACTAATCTAAAGATAATTAAAATAAAATAAAATCAGAAAAATAGCAATTACAATAGTTGTGATATGATTGGTCGATTGAAAGAGTTATAATCGATGTAGGATTTCTCGTGGCTTGCGCGCAAACCCCACCCATCGGGCGATGAGTGGCCGATGGTCGGAACGAAACTCGGCCATCGGGCGATGGAAAACCATCGCCCCAACCAGCAGCTCACGCTTGAGCGTACATCACGTCCATCGCTCGATGACTGGGTGATGGGTTGGCAGCTTCGCAGGATTGACTTCAAAGGGCTTTATCTCGCGTTCTAGGAATCGTATAGGGGCGTGTGGCCTATCAATGTAAAGCTCTTTCAATCTTGTTTCCAACGCAGTTTGAATTACCTCAATCCGATCTGTAAAACTCAAGTTATGATCAAAAGAGTGAATAAGAGTCAGTTTTACCACTTTTTAAAACATCGTTTAACTTCGTTTCTAACTCATATTCAATTCCGAAAAGTGCGTAACGATCATTGTGGATTCTATTTTCATTTCTCATGCATAAAATCCTCATAGTCAACATCCACAAACATGAGATCTTCGATTAATAAGCTCAATTCATCGACTTTTCATCTAAATATCATCTGAATCAACTCCAAACACTTCGAAAGCGTCCAAATGACTATAAAATCACCTGAAACATCAAGACAAACACAAACGGAGCGTAATAGAGCACAAAACAAACAACTTATGCATTTGCGTCCTAAAAAGCAAGAAAAGACCTAAAAAGCTACTATAAACTTAGCATAAACGTGCTTATAAACTCTATATAAATATGATTTACCAAGTTGAAATGAATATTTTATGAGAGAAGGAAATTAGGAGCTGAACTAAACTGAATTGATTGGAGCTAAAGTGAAATGAAATGATTAGAGTTGAACTGAACTGAAATTAAGATGAAGTGAACAAATGTGATTAGAGTTGACTTAATCTTTTATTTATTGTACATTCTAATATAAGTGTGTTTTTTCCCCTTAAGGCCTAAAGCTAAAATAAATTGTTTATAAGAGAAGGAAATTAAGAACTGAACTAACTGATTGAAGCTGAACTGAATGAAACTGAACTGATTGAAACTGAACTAAATGGAACTGAACTGAATTGAACTACACTGAGCTTAACGTATGCGGAACAAAATAGGCCCTGAGAGGGCCACACTTTTAGAAACAAAGAAATTAAGTGCTACCCTATACGACCTCCGTTTTTATTTAGTTGACACCATTCTATTATCACACTTAGCTTTTCAACTACTTTTTTAACAATTAATATCTCCAAGTTTCGACATTGTAAAATCATAAAAAGTGGATATTAATAAAATATACATAGAGTTGATTCAAACAAAATCCCATTTGACTATTTTTATCACATCTATAAATTAAATCATAAAAGCTAGTTAAAAGTGTAAATTGTGAATAGTGTAAACGTCATAAGGTATCAACTAAAAAAGAACAGAGGAATTATATTTTTAATTGTTTCCTTTCCTTTTTTTTTTAATTGTTCCACTTTGAATGTGCATGTTTCTCAATGCACATTGATCTTTGACCATTAATATTATGAATTTCCAAATTCCAATTTGTAAAATTTGTCCAAATTTAGTAATTAGAAACTATTTGTTGAGCTTAATCTAATAGTAAGATCCAATGTGATTATATATAGCAATTATGATAAAAGTTAATTATGTTATCGGTGGCAAAAATCATATTGTACAAGTAATATAAAGTGAATTGCTAAACACTGCCTACAAAAATGATCATCACCGCTAACATTCAGTGTTAATGGACAATCGTACCCTTATTACTTCACCACCCCTTATCCCTCTAGCGACCCACAACTCCTTCTGATCGGCGATGACCACCACCACCCTGATCGGCGACCCACCATACCCTCATCTATGACAACCCACCACCTTCCCTCGCCGGCGGGAAGGTGGTGGTTTAATATATTTTTTAAAATTTCAGGCAACCGCGGTAACCAAAGCCCAAAACCGGTTACCGTGCACAATAATCGGAGCCCAGAACCGGTTATCGTGCACGGTAACCATTTTGGGCTTCGGTTACCGCGCACGGTAACCGGTTTTGGGCTCCGGTTACCGTGCACCTTAATCAATTCCATGGTAACCGGAGCCCAAAACCAGTTATCGTGCCCGGTAACCGGTTTTGAGCTCCGGTTGGTACGGTTGTCAAAAAAAAAACCACCACCTTTCCGCCAAAGAGGGAAGGTGGTGGGTCATCTTTGAAGGGGATGTGGTAGGTCGCTGGTCAGGGTGGTTGTGGTGGTGGTCGTCGTCGCCGGTTAGTGTGGTGGTGGTGTTAGTTATCAATTGGGGTGGTGGTGTCAAGGTGTTAGTGATTGGTGGCAAGAGGGAAGATAGTGGTGAAGTACTAAGGGTATGGTTGTCAATTCACATTTAATGTTGACGGTTTTGATCATTTTAGATGGCAGTATATAACACGCCCAATATAAATGGAGGAAGTAGATATGATATAAATGGATATATGCTCGGCTTAATTTGACTTATTTTGTCTGAAAAATTGCCTTAGCTTATCTTAATTTAATTGTATGAACTTATTGTACGCTATTCAAGACTACATAAGATAATATACTTTGAAGCAATAATACTCAATTCATATAGATTTTTTTTTTTTGAAATATACTCATTCATATAGATTAACATAATAACATGTAGTCTTGTAGAATCACATGTACTTGTTAAACTCATATAAGCTCTACACCATAGAAGAAGTACTAGAGTATTTTTTATTTTATATACGGTATAAATTAACAACGACTTGTACTAATGTAGAAATTCTATTTAAAGAATGCTTTAAGGATTACAATTTCTTTTTCAAAGAAAGAATCTCTCCTAAAATAAAATAGATTTAACGATTGCTTTCTTTAAGAAAGGGAGTAATTAAATTAACTTCGGTAAATAAATTGTAATTGAGGCATCTAATTGCGCCATCTTGTGGGACCAGTGCTTGGGTGGATGGATCATAATAAGATGCCCCCATAATAATATAAATCATTATCACAAAGGCACGTAAATAATGCACCGATTTAATTAGGTGTTATGTCTGTCTATGTTTGGTACTTATGTGATGTTTTCTGCCCAACATACGGTTATTAGTTAGGAACTAGTTTTCATAGGGTACTTGTATACTCTTCAAACACGAGCTGTGTACTACATGTTCCAATGGTTCCATTCAAAGAAGTGTACACACGTGAACTCTTTGTGGGTACGCCATGGCTTAACTAGGGGTGTCAAATCGAGCGGGTGGGTTGGATTTGGTTTGATCGATCATAATAACTTGAATCAAAACAAGTTAATTTTATCGACTTGAGTTGAATCATGTCCAGATCAATTTAATTCGAGTAAGACTGGATTATTTTTGAGTTCAGCTGATTTTGAGTTAGGTCTATTTTAGTTGAAGGTACTTTTTATGTTTAGGTTGTACTCACATTCTAAATAAATTAATTACAGTATTAAATTAATATCTGGTTATTTTCACTATTTGAAGTATATTTGCTCAATTCATTTTGTGTTAACTGAGGTTATGAATTCTTCTTATATAGTGGCAAATTCAATGACAAAGAGCGATGATCAATGTCGAAAAAATTAATGTAATTTGCAAAA